AAACAGAAATACATATTATGTATTTTAGTGTATTCTAACTGTGTGCCAAATTAGATTGAAATCAGACCAAAATTGTAGGAGGAGTAACGTTTTAAAGGAATTTCACAGACATTTCTATTTTAAGTAACCATGGCAACACTGTTCATCGAATTCAAAAAATGCACTAAATTATGTATCTTAGTGTAGTCTACTTGTGTGCCAAGTTATATTGAAATCAGACCAAAACTGTAGGAGGAGTAGCGTTTTAAAGAAATTTCACAGAAATTTCTATTTTTAGTAACCATGGGAACACCGTCCATCGAAATCAAAAAACCGATGCACTAAATTATGTATCTTAGTGTAGTCTACTTGTGTGCCAAGTTATATTGAAATCGGACCAAAACTGTAGGAGGAGTAGCGTTTTAAAGGAATTTCACAGAAATTTCTATTTTTAGTAACCATGGCAACACCGTCCGTCGAAATCAAAAACCGATGCACTAAATTATGTATCTTAGTGTAGTCTACTTGTGTGCCAAGTTATATTGAAATCGGACCAAAACTGTAGGAGGAGTAGCGTTTTAAAGAAATTTCACAGAAATTTCTATTTTTAGTAACCATGGCAACACCGTCCATCGAAATCAAAAACTGATGCACTAAATTATGTATCTTAGTGTAGTCTACTTGTGTGCCAAGTTATATTGAAATCGGACCAAAACTGTAGGAGGAGTAGCGTTTTAAAGGAATTTCACAGAAATTTCTATTTTTAGTAACCATGGCAACACCGTCCATCGAAATCAAAAACCGATGCACTAAATTATGTATCTTAGTGTAGTCTACTTGTGTGCCAAGTTATATTGAAATCGGACCAAAACTGTAGGAGGAGTAGCGTTTTAAAGAAATTTCACAGAAATTTCTATTTTTAGTAACCATGGCAACACCGTCCATCGAAATCAAAAACCGATGCACTAAATTATGTATCTTAGTCTAGTCTACTTGTGTGCCAAGTTATATTAAAATCGGACCAAAACTGTAGAAGGAGTAGTGTTTTAAAGGAATTTCACAGAAATTTCTTTTTTTAGTAACCATGGCAACACCGTCCATCGAAATCAAAAACCGATGCACTAAATTATGTATCTTAGTCTAGTCTACTTGTGTGCCAAGTTATATTAAAATCGGACCAAAACTGTAGAAGGAGTAGTGTTTTAAAGGAATTTCACAGAAATTTCTTTTTTTAGTAACCATGGCAACACCGTCCATCGAAATCAAAAACCGATGCACTAAATTATGTATCTTAGTCTAGTCTACTTGTGTGCCAAGTTATATTGAAATCGGACCAAAACTGTAGAAGGAGTAGTGTTTTAAAGGAATTTCACAGAAATTTCTTTTTTTAGTAACCATGGCAACACCGTCCATCGAAATCAAAAACCGATGCACTAAATTATGTATCTTAGTGTAGTCTACTTGTGTGCCAAGTTATATTGAAATCGGACCAAAACTGTAGGAGGAGTAGCGTTTTGAAAAATTGTTTACAGACAGACAGACAGACGGACGGACGGACGACGGACACCTTACTATCGCATAAGCTCTTCTGGTCTCTGACCAGTAGAGCTAAAAAACAAACAAAATCAGGAATCCTGAAATTGATTATTCTGGTCAAAATCTTTCAATTCTGTCAATATCTCTAAATATTTGTTTACAATATGTCATATTAGGTATATTTTAAGCATTTAATATCTTGATTTTGCTGAAGAATAGATTTTTGTACATGAAAAATAGATTAATGAAATGAAATGCTTTGAATGGCGTCGTTTAAAAGACTATGACATCTGTGTTTTATTTTTTGGCTTATGTGTTTTTTGCGAATAGGTAGGTAGGTTTTTGAAGGATGGGTGGACGCTAAACAGAGAAAAAACTTGGAATGGCCTTAGTTGTCTAGCTGTCTCTCTGTCTGTCAGTCTGTCCCACTTGGTTTTCCGTACTTTTTTCTAAACGCTTGGAGATATTGAGCTCATTTTTGGTATGTGAATGTATCCTGATGAGTTATAGATCAAATTTGCATTTGGTTTTGCTTCATTGATTTTTGACGGAACTATGACCTTTTAAATTTGTTATGGTTTTCCACAATTTTTTTAAAAGCTTGAACATATTGGGCTAATTTTTTAAATAAGACTTTAAATTAATTGATATATCAAGTTTGAATTTCATTCCGCTTCATTGATTTTTGACTGAATTAGGACATTTTCAATTTTACATGGGAACCAGATTTCACTTGCCAATAGGGGACTAGTATTGCTATTGCAATACTCACAGAATGCTTGTTTACCATCGTTCTATTATTTCTATATTTTTTTATACCTGTTATATTTTTGTCATTATACATGATATTCAAAAGATGCATACATGCATTTTAATTTAATTCTATTCCTATATCAGTATGATCAGTGTTGCTGTATTTTCTACACAGTCTCATAACATATAAAATATACATGTATATTCTAGACATTCAAGACGTAAAGCCACTGTTTTATTAAAGTTTTTATTCCAACTTTCCTACAATTGGCCTTGACCTGTGGTCTTAAAATTTGGAAAGATTATTGAAAAAATGTTTGCAAGCATGCATATTTCTTGAGATATATGATCATGCATTCTCTCTTGCAATGTATATAAAACATATTCAAGAATACCATCCGGTCATGTACTATAAATGCATATTATATTAATTATTATTATAATATACCCCCCACAAAGTTTGGAGGTTATATAGGAATCACCTTGTCCATCTGTCCGTTTGTCTAGCTGTCTGTGCATATATGTCCGTTCCATATCTTTTTTTACGGAGGAGCATTAGAATCTCCTACTTCACACAAAGATTGCTCATGACCTAAGAGTGTGTCATGTCCTTAACCGAAGGTCATGACCTGAGGGTGTGTCATGTCCTTAACCCAAGGTCATTTGGGCAATTTCAAGGTCACTGAAATAAAAAGTTCATAATTCGTGTCCGGTCCATATCTTTCTTTTGCGAAAACTTGAATCCAGGTCATTTGGTAAAGTTCAAGGTCAATGAAAGAAAAAGTTCATAAATCCTGTCGGGTTCATATCTTTCTTATGGATAAACTTGGTGAGTTACCATTTTGCACAAAGATTGCTTATGACCTAAGGGTGTGTCAGGACTTTGATCCAAGGTCATTTGTGCAAGTTCAAGGTCACTGAAAGGAAAAGTTCATAATTCGTGTTCAGTCCATATAATCAGCATTGATGTTCAATTAGGCTACGCCTTAGTTTCATTTATTAAAAATTTATAATGATCAATTACCAGTTAAATTCTGAACACCAATCCTAGTATTAGTGGCTTGGCACCTTCTATGAAAAACCTAGCGGGGGGTATAAGTCCACTTTGGACAGTTCTAGTTAATTTTATTTCATAACCTTGACCTTATAATTATGACCTTGAACATTAAATGATCTATTGTGATGACATAGGTGATTAAAACTAAAAGACAATTAAATGTAAGAAATTGATGGGTACACATTCTGCATTTATTATGAATTCATTCAAAACTTGCATTTCCTGATAAATCAGTATAACAGATAAACCAGTAAAAGTTTTTGAACTTAAGTCAATGATAAGAAAATTTAGTCCATAACACCCAATTTTTTTTTTCTTTTTTTTCAGAAGGTGAATATTTGAGGGTGATTTGGTATAAATTTCAAATAAATCCTATGTTTGTGTCTTTTTTAATAGTAAAATGAAGAAGGTATAGTCCGTTTTCCCTATATAATCCTATGTAAAATTACACGTAGGACCAATAAAAATGACCATATTTTGAGCGCTGTTACCTGACAAAGTAGTCGGGGAATATTTTTCTTTTTTGGCACAGAGTTTACTTATGAACTGACAATTCACCATACAAAATTTTACAAAAATCGTATGTTTGGAACTTACACCCACGAGACTCCTTAAACACACACATATGTAACATAAAAAAAATCAACTACTCACCATAATGCGACAACTTCCTAATAAAATTCACACCGTAAAAACCGCACGTGATTTACGCACATAGGTTGATTTAGCAACAAGTGATAGGTTTAAATACTTATATGGCTTAATATAGCTATATCGGTGGATCTAGTGATTTTCCTGGACCTGACTACTAACATGACTTACTTTCTGTCCGATTTTTAATATGAATTCTTAATTTTAATTTCTTTTTAGTAACATCCGAATGGAAATATTCGGTTTATACGTTAATATCGAACAGTTTGAATTCACCAAAGAAGAGTCTAATATTCTGCACGCGCGGATCTGGAAGGGGGTCGAGGGGGTCAGGAGTTATAAAAAGTATATAATAAAGCAAATAAAAAATGACTTTGGACACCCCTCCCCCTTAGAAAACGTGGACCCCACCATCACCACGACGAAATAGGTGTTTTCACGTTTGGAAGTGGACTTTACCTCTTTTTTTTTGCTCTTACTTTATTACATTTGGGATGGGAATTTGGGGGGGGGGGTTGTCAAGAAATTTTTGGGTAAGATTTTTTTTGGACTGGGATGGACCCCCCCCCCCCCGAAAAAATTCCTGGATCCGCGCCATGATTATATTCTTAATTTAATACTGACCGTATATTACCTTATGTAAGAAGCTGCTGCCGTGTGGCGTAATGGAAAAGTCAGTTTCAACTAGACTACATTTATTAGAACATGTAAACAAGCATGGCGTAAATTGTAAGCACAAATTGAACATCGAACCCGATCAAATATTGTTACATCCCCTTTTCTTTAGTTAGAACAGTATGGACAATGAATAAATTTATATTATGCTCAAAAGTGACTAGAATCAAAACATCTGTACTGCTTTACTGAACTGACTAGCAATAAAATAACAATATGACTAGAAATTGGACTATGAGTATTATATGCAAACTTGTAAAATGCAACATCGATGAAATGAATAAAGCGTTCCTAGCTACCTAAACAAAATTATCTTGGCATCTACTCAAGTTAAATGTCTATCAACAAATCATGATCTGACATAGTCATTGTATTTAACCGGCGGTTTCACTTCACGTTCAGAACGGGTAACTGTGTTCTTAGGGTCAGTTACTGGCTTTGGAACATCGGGTGCCACTTCCTTGGCCTCATTTGTCTCACACGGAAGATCACACGGAATGTCTCTTGACACCGGCAATTCATTTGATTTACTCAAATGTTTTCTGTTTCTCGTATAGTTTGCTCTGGCCTCGGTCGTTACCTTGTATGATCTCCTTTCCGGTATTGCTTCCGTAACCGTTCCTTTCTCCCATGGTCTATTAGGGGTTTTGACTCGGACAGTCTCTCCAACTGATAGTTGCGATAATGGGTGTGCAGATCTGTTGTAATACTCTGCTTGTTTTTGTTTGGCATTGTCGATCTTCTCTTTCTCAAATGGTGCATCTTTCGGCTGTAATAACTTTCCTTTCGTGGGTAGTAGTGTTTTTGTTCTCCTTCCCATAAGTCTCATGACTGGACTGGTTCCCACATGCTGTGTAGGTGTGTTCCTGAAATCCAACAATGCAAGGTAAGGATCAGATTTTGCATGTTTTGCTTTCTTTAGAATTTGTTTGGCAACTTTCACTCCTTGTTCGGCTTTCCCATTGCTTTGTGGGTAGTGTGGTGAAGATGTTACGTGTTGGAATTCCCACAGTTGGGCAAACTTAGCAAATTCTTCGGAGGCAAATTGAGGACCGTTGTCCGACACACACAGGTCTGGTATTCCATGTCTCGCGAATTGTGCTCGTAGTCGTTTGATGATCTCATGGGATGTCATTCTGTCCAAGGCATCAATCTCGAAGAAGTTTGAGAAGTAATCAGTTACTATCAAGTAGTTACGTTGGTCGAAAGTGAAGATGTCAAGTCCAAGCTTCGCCCAGGGACGTGGTGGTACCTTGTGATGTTGTAGAGGTTCTTTCCCTTGATTGTTGTCAAAAGTGCGGCATGTTTCACACTTTTGTATGAAGTCCTTAACTTCAGCGTTCATTTGTGGCCAGTACACAGATTCTCTGGCTCGTCGTAGGCATCCCTCGATTCCAAGGTGTGATGAATGTATCCTTGTCAGCATATCCTTGCGTAGTGCTTGTGGAATAACTGCTCTGTCTCCTTTAAAAATGACTCCATTTTGGATAGACAGCTCATCTCTGATCTCAAAGTAGGGAACTATGAGTTCTGGAACTAAGGTTTTGCAGTCTGGCCACCCATTTCTGATGGATGCGCCTAAATTTTGCAGGGTATTATCCTTTGCAGTTTCGTCCTGAATGTCTTTCAAACGGTTAGGTGCAATTGGCAGGAATTGTAGCATATTTATCGCTTCTACTACTGACTCCGCCTTTGATGGTTTCTCATTGGGCAGATACGCACGACTTAAGGTATCCGCTAGCTCCATGTTCTTTCCAGGACGGTACTTAAGATTTACTTCATACTTTTGCATCCTGAGCAGCATGCTCTGGAGACGCTTTGGCGCTTTGTAAAGAGGCTTATTCACAATCATCTCCAAAGGTTTGTGATCTGATTGGACAGATACTGGTCTCCCAAATGTGTAAACATTGAAACGTTCAAGCCCGAATATCACTGCTAGAAGCTCCTTTTCTATTTGTGCGTAGCGGGTTTCCGTTTCGGTCAGGGCACGGCTGGCAAAGGCAATCGGCTTGTCCTCTTGCAACAAAGCTGCTCCAAGTCCTTTCTCCGAGGCGTCGCATTGTATTGTTAGTGCCTTTTCTGGATTGAAGTACTGTAACACAGGATCTGCTGTGACTAGATTTTTCACTTGTTTTACAGCTTCGTCATGTTGTGGGGTCCAGTGCCATTCAACATCTTTCTGTGTTAACTTGCGCAGCGGCTCACAGATGTCACTAAGCTTTGGTAAGAATTTTGCTAAATATGTCACAAATTCAATAAATCGTCGGACTCCTGCTACGTCAGTTGGATTTGGCATATCCAGGACTGCTTTGACCTTTTCGGGGTCTGCCTTGAGTCCTTTATTAGTGATCGTGTGGCCTATGAATTTTACTTCTGACTGTCGAAATTTCATCTTGTCCTTATTGAGTTTGAGCTGCTGTTCTCTACATCTCATCATGAGTCTGACAAAGTTTCTGTCATGATCCTCTTGCGCTTCTGCTTCTGTGTTTCCTTCTCCAAACACCAGTATGTCATCATGTATACTCTTGACTCCAGGTAGTCCTTCCAGTGCTTGATGCTGGCGACGCTGAAATTCCTCTGGCGCAGTGTTGATACCGAATGGCATGCGGAGCCAGCGGAATCTGCCAAACGGACTGTTAAAAGTAGTCATAAGAGAGCTTTCGTAGTCCAGACGAACATGCCAAAAGCCATCTTTGGCATCTAGGACGCTGAAGCATTTGGCATCTGACAAATCTGGCAAGATGTCCTCTATTGTAGGCATAGGGTAGTGCGCTCGCTGCAGTCCCTTGTTCAGGTCTTGGGGGTCTATGCAGACTCTGAGTTTTCCACTTGGCTTCCTTTCTACAACCAAGCTGGAGACCCAAGGTGTAGGCTCAGTAACTTTGGCTAGAATTTCCAGTTGTACGAGTCTCTCCAGTTCCTTTTCTAAGTCATTCTTGATTGCGAGTGGAACTTTCCGTGGAGCATGAACAACTGGTTTGACACTCGGATCAATCTGGAGGCTGTATTCTCCTTTCAGGTGTCCTAGGCCAGTAAACACATCATGGTATTCTCTGCAAATGTTCTCCTTTGTCAATGGTTGTTTTCTCACATTGATTTCAAGGATGTTTTCGTTCTCGACCGTGATCAATTTCAAGGCTTGTGAAGCTTTGGAACCAAGTATTGGTTGACACGAGCCATCCAGTATGACGAAATCCGCTTTGTATTTTCCTCCGTTCTTAGGATTTTTGAATTTTAGGTTGCACTTGCCCAGAGGTTTGATTGTCGTGTTGTTATACATGCTGAGTATTTGGTCTGTCTCTGTGATTGCATTGTTATCTGTCAAATACTTTCTTGGGAGTATGTTGCAGGTCGCCCCACTGTCCACTTGAAATTTCACATACTGTCCGTTGACCGACAAGGTGGCAAATACCTTGTTTGCAGAAGCTTGGTTAATTGCATTTACTGACTCGCTGTTGTTTTTGAGATCTACACTATATATAGAAAAGTAATCATCAGAGTCTGATTCGGCACTCTCTTGGATTTGAAGGACTGTTGACTTGGCGGAATTGCAGACATTTTCAAAGTGATGAAGTTTGCGACACTTCCTGCACTGATGGCCATAGGCTTTGCAATTTCGCTTTCCTTTGGCGTGGCGACTTCCACAGTACTTGCATTGACTAGGTTCTTGTCTCGCTTGTACCTGTTGCTGTGGTTTCTGGGACTTTTGTGGCTGTTTCTTGAAGCTCTTCTTGTGCGAGTTGACTGCATGCACAGATATTCCTGCAGCCTGTGGTTGAATTTCCTTGTTCTGCTCCTTGGAAACTTCAGTGGCTCTACACACATGAATGCATTTCTCCAAGTCTAAATCGGTCACACGTAGAAGCCTTTCTCGCAGCCCAGAATCACTTACGCCACAAACAATTCGGTCTCTTATCATTGAGTCTTTGAGAGTTCCAAAGTTACAAGTGTCAGCCAAAATTCTAACTTCTGCTAAGAATTTGTCAAATGTGTCACCTGTCTGCTGGTTTCGACTGTAGAATTTGTACCTCTCGACTGTTTCGTTTTTCTTGGGATCACAGTGTTTGTCAAATTCTGCGAGGATGAGTTTTACAGTAATATTTTTCTCTTCCATATTCACTTTGTTCCCATGCTCATCGGTAGTTTGAAACTGCATCGTGGTATGGATTTCTCTCCCCTTGCGTCCCAGAAGATACAGCAAGAGTTTCACCTTTTGTGGCTCTGGTTTTTTCTCCATGCTGATATCGATGTAGAGTAACACCTCTTCCTTCCATTTCTTCCAGGTCTGAGAAAGATTTTTAGCATCGAAATCCATTGTTTCGGGCGGATGAAGTACGTTTTCCATTGTTGTCGATTTTGGCGCGCTCTCGAACAATAACAAAGGAAAATGGCAATTTGTCTCTAATTGTGGCTGGTTACACAATATTTTCAATCCCCGTACTCACTAATAATGGTCCGACACTTCTGACACCATGTAAGAAGCTGCTGCCGTGTGGCGTAATGGAAAAGTCAGTTTCAACTAGACTACATTTATTAGAACATGTAAACAAGCATGGCGTAAATTGTAAGCACAAATTGAACATCGAACCCGATCAAATATTGTTACACCTTACATCATATCTCTTGCACAAGTTTCTCTACGAGAGCTGATGCATAGACTACAGGTCTCACAAGAACTACAGAATACTTCTAGGTACCACAATTTCATGAAGATTGAATCACTCTTGAACAGAAACAGGTATACAGTATAATCGAGTAGTTTTATGTCCGAGTTTCAAAACTCCTTTGTAAATTTGGAAATTAAGTAATTCCTTAAATTACTCGTGTATATCAGTGGCTTTCTGTTAGCAGCATTTACTAAGGCTTGTTACCGAATAGTCTGTGAATTTTCTGACCTCCAATATTGCCAGATTAATTTCTGTAGCCATCGAAATTTATATCCGTATAAGAAGTCGTATACACATCAATTCTAAAATTGTAATCTGAAGATTCAAAATTTCAACGTTTTATAATCAATGAGATTGACTACAAAATAGAAATGAAATAACAAAATAGCCTGGTATCTTATGGATTGGAGGTACTTACCGATTCTTAAAGAAAGAGCAATATATGATATTATCATATCAGTTATCATAACTGTCTTAAATGGCCCCTTAAACTGACTTCTTAAGTTAACAGTATATATAGAGCTATTCAGTCAATTTGGGCTATGGTTAGCACTTTACTTACCAAAATAAAACCTATTGTCGGAGTTTGTTATCGTCCACCCACCCAAACTTTCTTATCGACCACTGGGAAGAAGATATCCATACAGACTGTGAAACAATCATATTGGAGGACTTTACACCCAGAAAAAAGCAACCCAATATGCAAATCGTATATGAACATCTTAAATTTATTTAGTTTTTACCACAGCATTTTTGACCCGTCGCCCGCGTGGCGCAGTGGAAGAGCGTTCGCTCTAGAGTCGCGGAGTAAAGAGTTGATCCATACGTCGCGGGTTCGAATCCCACTGTGGGACGTGGAGACCGGTCCTTCGGACGAGACTGTATAAACCGAGGTCCCGTGTCGCAGTAGGTGCTGGCACGAAAAAGATCCCTCACTGCTCAATGACCCTAAGTGCCGAGTATAGGTCAAAATTTGTAGCCCTCCACCTGCAAGTGGTGGCGTCTCCATATGAGTGAAAAATTCTCGAGAGGGACGTTAAACAACAAACAAACAAACAAACAAAAAGTATTCTTGACCCAACAAGAGTTACTTGTGATACAGTGTCAATTATTGACCACATTTTATCTGGGACCTATATACTAACTAGATCCCTGATTTTATGTAATTCTAGAGAAAATATTTTGCTGTTATTACCACGGGTATAAGTGATCATTATTGGACATTTTGTATTAGAAAAGTCTTGAGGGACCATTTTAAATGTCATTATATTATCAAGATTAGAAGCTTGAAGAATTATACCATCGAATCTCTATAGTTTCTTTTATCTAGTGTACACTGGAATGATATCTAACCCACGTAAAGTTTAAGATTTCTATTCGAGTCCAAAGAAATGCCATATCATATTAGTCTGCATCATGGATGTCGATGGGAATGTATAGTTTATTGATACAAGTGGACGCTGTAGGGAAATTATGCTCAGTAAACTGGATTGCTGGGTTTATGTTGTATCCGAGGACAGGTAGTACCGGACTACCTGTAACAAAGCTAAGCATCTAACTATACCCCGTCTTCCAGCTGTAATAAAGAGCTTCTTTTGTATAAAGTTGTTGCTGTAAAATAATGCTATGTAAACGATCAGCAATACATGTAAAATAGATTTCAGATTTTAAACTCGCCAAGTACATCTCTCGTATACCGCAAGGAAAGCGGTTCGGGCATTAGATCCCTCTTTAGCGAAGCACATATTAAATATCGATAAAAACATTTAATTTTTAGGTCACCTGAGTCACTCGGGTGACCTATTTGCTTTCTCGTCCGTCGGCGTGCGTCGTGTGTTAACATTCGAACATTTTTAACTTCTTCTCTCAAACCGCATAACCAATTTCAACCAAATGTGGCTTACAGCATCTATGGGTGATGGGGAACAGTATTTATGAATTTCATGGTCCCTGTCCCCCTGGGGCCTGAGGGGTGGGGCTAAAACCACCAAAAATAATGCAAGCTTTAAAAATCTTCTTCTTTACTCCTGGACATCAAGCATTCAAACTGTTGGCATCATTGTAATAAGCATTGAGCCCTCTACTAAAATTGTGAAATTCATGGCCCCAGGGTCAGGGTTTCTGGTGCTAGGATGGGGCTATAGATCATATAGTGAAAGTGCATTGCTTCTTTGAAAATCTTCTCTGCTCCTGGGTTTTAAATAAACTAAGTAAGTACATAGTTATGAAGAGCAAGAGTGTCTCTTCCAAAATTGTGAAATTCATGGCCCCAGGGTCAGGGGCTCTGGTGTTAGGGCTGGGCTCTATTGATTATATAGTGAAAATGCTTTAATTCTTTGAAAATCTTCTCTGCTCCTAGGTATTAAATAAAGTAACTAATTACATAGTTATGATGAGCAAGAGTGCCTCTTCCAAAATTGTGAATTTCATGGCCCCAGGGTCAGGGGTTCTGGTGTTAAGATGGGGCTCTATTGACTATACAGTAAAAATGCATTAATTCTTTTAAAATCTTCTGGGTACCCAGTTCCTGGGTACTAAATAAAGTAACTATATATATATTATTTAATCTTTGCCAAAAGCTGCCATGTGGAGGCATCAGTGTTTCACAAACACGTTTTATTTTGAAAAAAAAAGTGAAAATAAATAACTTCAGTTCTGCATTCTTGCATGGCAGGAGCTTTTTCAGCATTGACTCAATGGTTTTCTCTTCAGTGACTTTAAAATACTCCAATTTTAAATCTAATAAAGTATATGACAAGAAATGGTACATTAGTGTATTTAAAAGACTTTTACTCTACAAAATATTGAGAGTTTGGGAGTAGCTTCAAACCTCTGCCTAATCATCTGTTCCCCCTCTCCATTTCTTCAATTTTAAATCTTAGAACTGCCACTGATCTATGCAATTTCTTACAAATTCCTTAAAAATACATCCAAATTAAGACTACATATAAACCAAATGAATTTAATTTGTTGTGATAAATGCATCATAATAATCATGTTCAAGTGTTCAGAAGACTGGCAATGATACATCACAAATATCTTTATGATAATCAGTGCATAATTTACTGTCTAGTGACAGATATGTTCCCAATACACAACGTTAAGTTTTTTCTATGATCAAAAAGTCCATATGCAAATAAGTCATTGAAAATAAATGAGTAGCAATGCAAAACAAAAAAAAAATGTACAATTCAGATATACCTCATTTGGATCAAAATGTTTCAAAAATACAAAGAAATATTTGTCTCGTATATGGAATGTAATTTACAGAGATTGCCAGAAGTTTTTATTCAAATCTGGACTTTTTCTGAAGTTCAATCTCTGCTGTTGGTGGTGGCGACTTTGGGGCGAAAACCCGAGAAATTCTCCTGGGATCTCTCTCTACAAGTTCAGCAGGACGATGCATGCCTCCATCCAACTCGAAACGCATTCATAGAACTTTGAAGAAAATGTCATTGATATGACTGCAAGTCTTCTTCACCTTCCGCTCAAAAACTGTTTATCTACCTGTCTTCTTTGAATACGTTCTGAAATACCTGAATTAGAATGCAACTAGAATGTAATCTTGAGCTATTAACCAAATTAGAGCAGCAATATTCTAACGGAAAATAAATATTTACCTAGGAGCACCATCTTCATGCATGGGTTACTGCGGGCAAATCAACTGCATAATTGTAGACCAACGCTGCCAAAATATTCCTGGCTCGGTACACTGGGGGTGAGTAAGAAATTCCCTTGGATGCATACATGAGGATGTGATTATTGAAAATCTCCAATTTTACTGTACTCCTTTAAAAGAAGAATATGGATCATTAATTTGGCAGTTGAAGGGTATGCAGTTTGTAAAACTTGTTTCAACTGAATATGTTTATACCTAGAATTAAGGTAATAGTGGTTGTTGTTCATTTATTGCTTGTCTAGGACAATCCTGGTCAATGCGGAGTGTGCAGGACTTCCTTTCTCAATCCAGGGCTTGTCTCTGTCAGCATTCAGTTCCTCATGGGAACAAACACCTGGTGCCATCCTTCCATAAAATAATGCCCATTCATGTTCATATCGGACATGATGGAGCACTCCGACCTATACATCCTGTAAGAACAGATATCCTTGTAAGTCATGAAAAGGTGCATTAGCTAGGGACAGATTTTAAACTATTTAGTTCTATGGATCTCATTAGAACTAAGATTTTTGAGTAGGATTAATTAAGATATTAATTACTGCAGTTACCATAAATAAAAAGAAACAACAATCCATTACACAAGAGACATGCTCATCTCTTTCTTAAATCTAAATGGAAAACACTTACCAGAAATTCCTCATATGTGCTTGGAACTTGGCAACAATGCCAAAAAATGGTTCACCGTGTCGGTACTCCACTGCAAAAGTTCCTTGAAACTTTTTTTCTTGACTGGCCTACAATATTGTGAGTTTTGCATAAGAAAAAAAAATATATTATATTATAATAAATACGCTTGAGCTAGCCCACAGTATATTTTGGCGGCCTGAATAATCTCCGATATATATTCGTTGGCTTCCCGTCTTTCTAATTCAGACCTCTTCTTTTCACGTTGACAGTCTGTGAGAGATTCAGGCCGACCACGTTTTTCTAGGATCTCCATCATCCGATTTGTTTACAATGCCACTGCGC